AAATATAATTTACTACAAATTAACAATTATCAAAATAATTACATCAGATGGTCAGAACGGAAGCCACTTGAAATGAGAAAAACAGAATATGCAAAAGCTCGAGCACGTATTTTCGACAGCATAGCCGAAGTGATCTCAGAAAGCACACCCAGGTAAAACGAGCACACTCTCGTTACAAACTACGCTCCTGCGCTGTGGTATGCGCTGCGATTCAATCGGCAAAGGCGACGATCGGGCATTCGCAACGGTCAAGCTGGGACAGCGGGAGATCGCTGGGCTGCTAGATACGGGTGCAGTTTGCTGGGAGAAGGTTGCCTGCAATTGATAAAAGAACTGGATAGAAATCACCAGGTACGATCGACAGTTCAATCAGCTGGAGGCACGCAACATCACATTCTGGGCCGTGTCTATGCCAAAATATCGTACAACAGCCAGACTCACCAAATAGCTTTGAATCTATGACCATCTCTCAAGCAGAAGCTTTATCTCGGAGTGAATTTTTGGAGAAAATTCGGATTGGCGCAGGAAATTTTAGGAATCGAGGAGCTGTGGTATGTCAATTCGGAGTTCACGACCAAAGTTGAACCGATAGTAGCCCATGCATTAAATGAGGAGCAACAACATCTGCTGAAAGAGGCCAGAGAAGGTTTCTTGGATTACGAAACTGGAGGTGTGGGACATACTAACATAAAAACACATACCATTCAACTAGTGGATGTCTAAGTGCCATTTGGGCTATGCAACGCAGCTTAGAGATTGTGCCGATTGATGGACAAGGTGATTCCTCAACGCTTGCGCAATCGTGTATTCACCTACTTGGATGACTTACTAATCATCTCGAGGACGTTCTACGAGCACTGCGAACTGCTAAAGGAAGTAAGCGACTGCCTGAAAAAACAAATTTGACCATTGGCTTACAGAAGATATACAAGCGTAACTTTATCCTGAGTGATTTTACGAAAGGCCGCAACACCAAGTTCTGCCACAAGTATGCCAAGTGCAGAGTCGATAGGGTGGTCGGGTCCAGTCCATACGAACTTGAGACGCTACAAGGAGTGGCCTTACTTATATTTCACGCCAATTATCTGAAACAGTAGGCATAAGTTTTTTTCCGGCTAAAGGTCTGGAAATGTATAATCACCTCGGAATATGCGATTCAGCCGAATCTCAGGGCGTGTGCGATGTTCTACTTTGGCGCCAGCGAAACACGACTACGGCCGCAGCAATAAAGTCCGATTCTCACTCCTGTTTAAAGGGAAGCATCCAAGACGGAGGTGTTAAATAAAAGCAATGTGAACGATAAGTCGGATAATAACAGGCTGTTGGGAAGGGTCGCCAGCAAGTAATGCGGTCAGTTACTAGTTCGAGCCCCGCCAAGGTACCCTTTTTTTTATACCCTGAACTCAATCAAAATGGTTAAAAAAGGAATATTGTATTTGTGCAAAATGCAAATGTATGCAACAGGTAGAAGGAAGCGTCTCCGACCCCATAAAGTATATATATATTCTATCAGCATCAACAGCCGAGTCGATCTAGCCTTGCCGTCTGTCTATCCATCTGTCTATCCTTCCGTCTGTCCGTATGTTCGAACGCAAGGATATCAGAACCTATTAGAGCTAGACACTGTGGGTCCTCCTAGTCCATGCGCAGATTGAGTTTGTTTCCTATAATCGATAGCTTACTCCATTTCAAAGCAATCGATAAAAATCGATATCGAAATTCTGTTTTTTGAGCACATTGGGTAAATAATAAGAGAGTCACCAAAAGGTATATGTCTACTCTAGAATAGTATATATGTATATTTCAAGTATCTTTCATTTTATGCTTATCGCTACTACCTCATAGCTATAAATCAAGTTAATAACCCAACTTTAGCTACAATTTTAATGCAATTAACTTTTTGAGAATACACAAATATTCTATGCTACAATAAGATATTCTGTAGAAAATTTCATTAAGATCGGTTTTTATTTTGTTTTTCGGTAATTTGATTGCGCACGTGTTTGCGACGCACATTCGAAGAATTTCTGTATACATGTACAAACACACATTCATGCGCTTCAGCTTCGAATTCGATTGTATTGTTTTCTGTACTGCTATTTTAATCGTTTTTTTTTCACAATAACACTGAATTATAGGTGTAGCTGTTGAGAAGAGTTATGGGCAAGTGGCGCGGTATGTCTCGAGCTCGAGCCCTACCTAGGAAACCACCTTTTTTTTGGCTGTGGCTGTTGAGTAGAGACGGCGGCAAGTAGTGCGGTTAGTTGCGAGTTCGAACCCTGCCCAAGAAACTTTTTATACCCTTGCATAGGGAACTATAATTTTGTCGTGAAATGTGTAACGCATAGAAGGAGACATCTCCGACCCCATAAAGTATATATATTCTTAATCAGCATCAACAGCCGAGTCGATATAGCCATGTCCGTCTGTCTGTTTCTATGCTTACAAGTCCCTCAGTTTTAAAGCTATCTTTATGAAACCCTCTTTCTGTTGCACGCAGCACATATGTCAAAACCAGCTGGATCGGACCACTATATCATATAGCTGCCATAGGAACGATCAGTCGAAAATTAAGTTATTGTATGAAAAAACATTTTGTTTTTCAAGATATCTTGACCAAACTCGGCATTTATTAGTTTTACTATAACCCTCATATATAGGCAAAATCCTATTATGATCGGACCGCTATATCATATAGCTGCCATAGGAACGATCGGTCGAAAACTAGATTCTTGATTAAACCCTTTTTATACCCTGAACACATTGAAAATGTTTATAAAGGGTATATTGTATTTGTGCAAACTGCAAATGTATGTAACAGGCAGAAGGAAGCATTTCCAACCCCATAAAGTATATATATTCTTGATCAGGACCAATAGCCGAGTCGATCTAGCCATGTCCGTCTGTCTGTCCGTCCGTCCGTCCGTCCGTATGTATGAACGCAAGGATCTCAGAACCTATAAGAGCTAAAGACTTGAAATTTTAGATGTAGATGTTCCTAGCTTGCGCGCAGATCGAGTTTGTTTCCGATAATCGATAACCTAATCCGTTTCCATGCAATCGATAAAAATCGATATCGATATCCTGTTTTTTGGGCAACTTTGGTAAATAATAAGAGCTAGAGTCACCAAACATGACATGTTGCTTCTAGAATATTATATATATGTCAAGTATCTTTCATTCTATAGCCATCGCCACCTCCCCGCTACCATCCCAGAGCTATAAATCAAGTTAGTTACCCAACTTTTATTGCCAACCAATTTAAGCTACAATTTAAATGCAATTGATTTTTTCAGAATACACAAATATTTTATGGTACAATAAGATATACTGTAGTCGACTAGAACCTCTTACTTGTTTTAATTTATTTCTTGTTGGAATTAGAGGGTTTAGGGTATTCCCTAGTCGGGAGCTCCCGACCAAGCCCTCTTACTTGTTTGTTTATCAAGATATCTTGACCAAGCTCGGCATTAAATATTTTCCCTGTGCTTCTTAGATACGGGCAAAGCACTATAAGCATTATGAAAAGGTTGGGTCTGCAAGGGTATTGAATCTTCGGCGTGCCGAAGATAGCCTTTCTTTCTCGTTTTTATTACTGTAATAAATTATGTATTACCACTAACCAAAATACATATAGACTGGACAATCAGAGTACGGCGATGGGGCCTCTCGTTTTCTGTGCGGTTCGTCCAAAGTCGGCCTCGTATTTGTTCGGGTTCATAAAACGGCATCGCTGCTTTTTTTTTATTCCCTCGCACTGCAGGAAACTGCTTTGGCTTACTCTCAGTGCTCTTTCAATTTGTTTATTTACCGTTGTACTGTCTGTGTGTGTATTTGTCCGCACAAGCAAAAATACCCACAAATTCAGTTTTTCTCAAAAGTCGGTGGCTTTCTTCCCTTTTGAAGAGACGAGTAATATGATAATGAAAGGGTTTGCCACGTCTTGCATTTGTAGAAGATAAATGTCGCTTGCAAAGTAAAACACACAATTATTTCGATACGTCTTCTTTATTCGACTGTACGATCGCGACTGACTCCGCGTTCGTTTTATGCTTACTAACTAAAGGAGAATAGACAATCAGTTTATGCATGTATAAGCGAGACAAGGAGTGATTCAACTTGTCGAGCTCTTCTTACATGAACTAGAGTACAACAGGAATGTTAAAGTTGAGCGAACTTAAAACAAACAGGAGATTGTTGCGTAGATGGCTTTGACTATGTGTCTGTCTGTATGTATGTCTGTACATACATGTGCTTATCCTACTACATATTTAAGCTCGTTATCGTTGGTAAGGGTACCTAAGCGTTGCCATGTGTGCATTTATAATATTTTGGACTCGCTATTCACGCATACTTGCATATTTTGTATATGAATAGAGGAATTTGTGCGCTTGTGTGCCTGTTCATGGCCTGCCTGCCTGTCCCTCGCAAATTTGACAAGATTGGAAGTTTTTGTGATTTCTGTATTACTGTATATATACACAAACACACACAAATATGTGTGAATGGGCAGATCTTGGGCGCAAATTCAAATTCAATATTGGCAGGCTTCTGAAGCGCTCCCTTCTTTTTCATGATTTCGGGTTTGAATTGATTAATGAATGTTGACCCCTTATTACCGTTTGGCCGAAAAAGGTCAACTCGGCCAAACGGTAATAAGGGGTCAACATCCATTCAACAAAAGGTCAAAAGGTCAACTCGGCACCACTAACTATAAATTCCCAAAAACAAGTTAAAAATGTCGGGCAGGTGTTCATATTTTTAGTCTAAAAGATGAAAAAGTATACTTTTTTTCAATGTGTAAACTCATTCTTGGCATACTGTATATGAATCTTTTGTACCAAATGGTATAGTCATGACATGACTTAAGATGTTAGTCAGTAGGAATCTATCTATTTCTTTCTAATGTTACAAACAGCGTTTGTTTTCAAATCCTTTCCTTAGACCGTTTATTAAAATAACTTAACTGATAACATTTACATTTGTGTGTTTATTTTCAGGGCGAATCAAATGAAGCAAGAATAGAGGTTGCCAATCAAAGAGCTCACCAGCTTTTAAAATAAGGCGATCTCAAGAAGACATCTAGTACACCCAATAATTATTGTGATGGTATTCAGTGCTTTAAGAAATCTGTTCATTTCTTGTAATTGCTTTGTGCTCCAATAGCTGTAAATATAAGCAATTTATGTTTGTTATTATAACACTAAGAACTAGCCTTTTCAAGCAATTGAAAAACAAAAATATGTATAAACACTGAAATGCTCAATACATTAAAAATTGACTCATTTCATGAAAATATATATCTAAAATGTTTAATACATATGTTTATTGATAGATAGATTCGATCACTAATGAGCTTGCTTTGAATCTTACTATTTTATATCCATAACCCATTGAAAACTGTTCATAAGAATGTGGAAAAATATGTAAAAGGCAGAAGGAAGCGTCTCCCATTCCATAATATCTGAACATCGTGCTAAATCGACCTATCTATTTTCGTCTTTGTGAATGTGAAGATCTAGAAACGACCGTTGTAAAATTAAAAATACATACATAATAGCGCATATCAAAAAAATGTAATGCAGGTTGAAATGCAGGTTTTTGTATAGTATACACACATTCCAAATATTTATCTCTTTGGGATAGCTCCATTAAGAATACATTTCCATAGTGTGGAGCAATGTGAACAATAACAGCCGCAGAGTAGACTGCGCACCAAGGAGCGTGCTATATGTGCGTGTGTTTGTTTGTATTATGTATTAGAGGTATGTAAGATAGCTGGCGTTGGATTCAGGGAATCTTTTAGTCGGCCAGTTCCGAGAGGAGTGTTACTGGCTATTTTCAAATTAATTGTTTTTCCAAGTAATATAAAGTTATAGATTTTATAGTATCTTAGAGAGACAGATGTTAATAAAAAGGGAACATGGCTATGTAAGAATGTGAACTTGTGGAGTCGGAGAAGCACCCATCTGCCTATTACTTATATTTATGTAACTTCATTTTATTTTATATTTTTTCTAATTAAAGTACAGTATATAAAATTGATTTTGTTGATGTTATATCATCAGACAATACTGACTGCGGATTCTTGAAATAATTAATTAATTAATTAATTACTTTTACAGTTTTTAATGCACATTAATACACTGAATTATTTTGAAGCTCTTGCCAATTTGTAATTAATTTTTTTTACTACTTATATAAGTAGAGGTTATAATGAATTGTTTATTGTATACAATTAATTAAACATAATAGGCCTGTAGTGCTATTTATTGAATAATATTGTGTAAGCCAAATTTAAACGAATGTAAAAATGTAACACAAATGGGTGTTCACTAAGCATCCGTTGGACATTTGGAGCGCCTGCAATACCCCGCGACAGCAACTTTCACTGAAAAATTTCTTGCACCTAGACTGTAAAAATCATTGCAAAGCTGCAACACTATATATGCAAAAGCACGGAAAAAATCATATTATCTCAATAGAGATTTGATAAATTTAGGTATGTTTTACTTCATCTACAGATGCCAAAAACAAGAAAATATGCAAGTAAATAACATGACGGGTCTTACCCCCCTTTAAAAAGTTTAATTTGAAGAATAGGTCTGATTTCTTATCTTCCAAAAGGGTTTCTTTAACGCCCGTAAATTTCATATTCAATTCTCAAATCAGCAGTTTTAAACCGACATTCAAAATACAATCTGAATTTAACAAAAAAATCAATTGATTTGCTGTTCACTTAGAAGGTATTGCAGCCTTGAAAAGCTTTAACATCAAGTGATCACCCTTTGTATAAACATATAAATGAATATGTTTAGCTAAGAATATAGAAAATTTAAGAGACGGTTTTTCAATACTAAACGTAGGATTTTATTCTATTTAAAATGTATGTAGAAATGTCATTTTGAATTTACAGATATTTCCATATTTCCAGATGAGGTTGTTAACATTTTTTGCTCACTATAAAATGTTATCGAAATCATCTAACTATATGACTATCAGAATATGTTAATAATTTCGAAATTAAAATAAATTATCGTTCAAACATAATATATTGTTTAATAAAGGTATTATAAGTAATAAGTTTAGAATAAGAGTCCAAAATTAATCGGTGGATGCTGCAATTCAATTAAAAATAAATGTGGAAGCCCTGAAACTGATTAAGATTTCGTAGATCGACTTCCGTAGCTCTAACGTACAAAGGTTTGTCAAAAGAGCGGCATATGAATCTGGGAATCCTTTATGTGCACAATATTGAAGTAGCCGGGATGACGCTCACGGTTAACAACGCGGTTGATGGACAGAGAGCGCAGTAAAGCTTGAGTTGTATAGGAGTATAGAACTCAAATTTTCTACGGGATCAAACATGTTCGCATTGTATTAGTTGAAGAGTATTTGTTATCAAAGGTCAACTGAAATTGATCGCTTTGACTCACCAAAGAGATTAAGAGTTCTAATTCGCTTATGTGAGCGTCATGACAATTACTATACCATTTATGAAGCTTAAGCCGTCAAGTACGGATCAAATTATCTCTTACAGTGATATTTTAAATATATTCATGGTTGTCGATGGCAATATTTATGATTGCAACAAAGTGCCAATGTGCATGCATGACAGCTCACTCAGTTACTGTTTTGGTTGTTCACGTCTGCACCATTCAACATATTATCGTGTAACCACTTTATTTGCTACTAGACACTCTTTGCTATAATTTTCTGCTGGTAACAGCTCTCAGGCACACTTCAATACGCGCGTTATGCCCTTAGCGGCCTCAAATGATTCAAATTCTAGAATAAATGTAGATTTCCGTGCCTTTAGAGGGGGATTGCGAGACAGTTAAGACATTGCGTGTCCCCGGAGAAGATTAACGGAGCTGTTCTCGAGCTATGGATCTCAATGCTGAAAATTTAGAGTCAAGACAACTTTTAGAGCAGCCATATGAAAACACCGTCGACTAAGCAGACAGACGAAACAAGTAAGAGGATCTAGTCGGGAGCTCCCGACTAGGGGATACCCTGAACCCTCTTATTCCAACACCAAATTAATTAATAAAAAAAGTTCCCTTGGCAAGGCTCGAATTCGCAACTGACCGCATTACTTGCTATGCCCCTACTCAGCAGCCACACCAACAATTAAGTACTTATGATAAAAAAAGGAACTAAAATAACATTACAAAAAAAAGATGCAATTACCAAATGCGAAGCAGACGCGCATGAATGTGTGTATGGACATGTATACAGAAATTCTTTAAGCTGCTGCCCCATTCAATTGCTCAGTTGCATATAACTTTGGTTTTTCTTAACCGATCTTTATGAAATTTTCTACAGTATATCTTATTGTACCATAAAATATTTGTGTATTCTCAAAAAATCAATTGCATTTAAATTGTGGTTTAAATTGGTTGGCAATAAAAGTTGGGGTATTAACTTGATTTATAGCTCTGGGGTGGTAGCGGGGAGGTGGCGATAGGTATGAAATGAAAGATACTTGAAATATCTATAATATTCGAGAAGCAACATATCATGTTTGGTGGCTCTAGCTCTTATTATTTACCCAATTTGCTAAAAAAAAAAAACAGGATGTCGATATCGATTGCTTGGAAACGGAGTAAGTTATAGATTATCGGAAACAAACTCGATCTGCGCGGGAACTAGGAGCATCTACATCTAAAATTTCAAGTCTCTAGCTCTTATAGGTTCTGAGATCCTTGCGTTCATACATACGGACGGACGGACGGACGAACAGACAGACGGACATGGCTAGATCGACTCGGCTATTGATGCTGATCAAGAATATATATACTTTATGGGGTCGGAGATGCTTCATTCTGTCAGTTACATACATTTGGATTTTGCACAAATACAATATACCCTTTTTAACCATTTTCAATGGGTTCAGGGTATAATGACTATAGAAACTCAAGACCAAGAAACAATTTTATGTAATAAGGAAATTTCACCTAATAAATTTAATGTAGGAGGAGCTGCTATATTTGCCGATCTTAAAAAAAATCATCATAAAGCTATAGCTGGCATAAAATTTAAAAGTCCCTTCTTAATTAATAAACTTCGTCTTCCTAATCGTTTATAAGACACATTGGCTAAACAAAATAACCCAGAAGAACAATGTCCATAAGCAATCAATAATCTATAAGACCCACATAAACCTCAATAGGATAAAGTTCAAAGTCCTGCTAATACAATTCCTATATGAGCTACTGAAGAATAAGCAATAAAAGCTTTTAAATCAGTTTGATTATTTTTTAAATCAAAATTTATTATCCCTATTTTATTTATTAAATAAAAAATACTAATTAATATAGGAAAAGAAACTAATAATGTATAAAATAATAAATAAATCCCAGTTTGTAATCGTTGATACCCCAACCTAAAATTAACAAGTAAGAGGTTCTAGTCGGGAGCTCCCGACTATATATATATATATATATATATATATATATCAAGTATCTTCAATTTTATATCTATTTCCTTTATTAAATACTGCAATTTTATTAACATCAGCAGTTACTGTAACATGAGGTCATCATAGATTAATAGAAGGAAATCACTCACAAACTACTCAAGGTTCATTTTTTACCGTTCTTTTAGGAATTTACTTTACAATACTACAAGCTTATGAATATATTGAAGCTCCATTTACAATTGCAGAGTCAGTTTATGGTTCAACACATTTTATGCCACAGGATTTCATGGGATTTATATTCTTATCGGAACAACATTTTTATACCCTGAACCCATTAAAAATGGGTATAAGGGCATATTGGTATTTGTGCAAAATCCAAATGTATGTAACAGGCAGAAGGTAGCTTCTCCGACCCCATAAAGTATATATATTTTTGATCAGCATCAATAGCCGAGTCGATCTAGCCATGTCCGTCTGTCTGTCCGTCCGTCCGTCCGTCCGTCCGTCCGTCCGTCCGTATGTATGATCGCAAGGATCTCAGAACCTATAAGAGCTAGAGACTTGAAATTTAAGAGGTAGATGCTCCTAGTTCCCGCAGATCAAGTTTGTTTCCGATAATCGATAACTTTCTTCGTTTCCAAGTTTTTTGGGCAATTTTGGTAAATAATAAGAGCTAGAGTCACCAAACTTGACATATAGCTTTTAAAATAGAATATATATATGCATTTGATGTTGGAAGAAGGGGGTTCTGGGTATCCCCTAATCGGGAGCTCCCGACTAGAACCTCTTACTTGTTTTAATTCATTAACTTTATTTGTATGTATTTTTTGTGGTTTATTTGGCTATTTAATTTCAGTAAGAAATTTATATACAATTACTAAAGCAATAATTTTATACAAAATTGCCCAAAAAACAGGAGATTGACAAAGATTTTTATCGATTGCTTGAAAACGGAGTAAGCTATCGAATATCTGAAACAAACATGATCTGCGCGGGAACTAGGAGCATCTACTTTCATTTTCAAGTCTCTAGTTCTTAAAGGTTCTGAGATCCTTGCGTTCATACATACGGACGGACGGTCGGACGGACGGACGGACAGACAGACGGACATGGCTAGATCGACTCGGCTATTGATGCTGATCAAAAATATATATACTTTATGGGGTCGGAGAAGCTTCCTTCTGCCTGTTACATACATTTGGATTTTGCACAAATACAATATACCCTTATACCCATTTTTAATCTGTTCGGGTCTAATAATTATAGAAAGGATTAGAGCGATTTCAACAATAACAAGTAATAAATTCTAGTCAGGAGCTCCCGACTAGGGGATACCCTTAAGCCTCTTCTTTCAACACCATAGATGCTCCTAGTTCCCGCGCAGATCGAGTTTGTTTCCGGTAATCGATAACTCACTCCGTTTCCAAGCAATCAATAAAAATCGATATCGACATTCTGTTTTTTTTTTAGCAAATTGGGTAAATAATAAGAGCTAGAGCCACCAAACATGATATGTTGCTTCTAGAATATTATAGATATTTCAAGTATCTTTCATTTCATACCTATCGCCACCTCCCCGCTACCACCCCAGAGCTATAAATCAAGTTAATACCCCAACTTTTATTGCCAACCAATTTAAGCCACGATTTAAATGCAATTGATTTTTTCAGAATACACAAATATTCTATGGTACAATAAGATATACTGTAGAAAATTTCATAAAGATCGGTTAAGAAAAACCAAAGTTATATGCAACTGCGCAATTGAATGGGGCAGCAGCTTTAAGAATTTCTGTATACATATACACGCACACATTCATGCGCGTCTGCTTCGCATTCTAATAGCATGGTAATTGCATCTTTTTTTTGTAATAGTATTTAAGTTCTTTTTTTTATCATAAGTACTTAATTGTTGGTGTGGCTGCTGAGAAGAGGCATAGCAGGTGGTGCGGTCTGTCGCGAGTTCGAGCCCTAACGGGAAAAGTATTATTACTTTTTTTTTGCTGGTGTGGCTGTTGAGTAGAGTCGACAGTAAGTAATGCGGTCAGTTGCAAATTCGAGCCCTGCCAAAGGAACTTTTTTTTATTAATTTATTTGGTGTTGGAAAAAGAGGGTTCATGGTATCCCCTAGTCGGGAACTCCCGACTAGAACCTCTTAGTTGTTTATGTTGAGATCGCTCTAATCCTTTCTATAATTATTAGACCCTGAACCCATTAAAAATGGGCATAAGGGTATATTGTATTTGTGCAAAATCCAAATGTATGTAACAGGCAGAAGTAAGCATCTCCGACCCCATAAAGTATATATATTCTTGATCAGCATCAATAGCCGAGTCGATCTAGCCATGTCCGTCTGTCTGTCCGTCCGTCCGTCCGTCCGTCCGCCCGTCCGTATGTACGAACGCAAGGATCTCAGAACCTATAAGAGCTAGAGACTTGAAATTTTAGATGTAGATGCTCCTAGTTCCCGCGCAGATCGAGTTTATTTCCGATAATCGATAACTTACTCCGTTCCCAAGCAATCGATAAAAATCGATATCGACATCCTGTTTTTTTTTTAGCAAATAGGGTAAATAATAAGAGCTAGGGCCACCAAACATGATATGTTGCTTCTAGAATATTATAGATATTTCAAGTATCTTTCATTTCATACCTATCGCCACCTCCCCGCTACCACCCCAGAGCTATAAATCAAGTTAATACCCCAACTTTT